CTTACATAGTTTTGTAGACTGTAAACACTTTGGAAATTGTCCATGTGGGTCAAAGGCTATCTCTCAGTCATGTTATTTCAGTGTGAACCCTGTTTAAATTCTCATTAAATAGACTTAACTATGATGAATGCAGTAAGTGAAGACAGATGCACTCATTCTTCTAGGTAGAAGTATTTTAAATACATAGTAATCCTAGCTATGGGTGCCCCCCTTACACTGCAAGTAATCACATTTAGCTTTAATCTGCTAATAGTATTTCCCATAAACCATTTGACACTTCTGCCCATTCTGGGTAAGGCTCTGGTTTTGACTAGGCCGTTATAAGACTCTTCTGCTATCACCTTAAAGATTCCAGCTTAACATCCTGATCTTCCCTAAATATGGGTCCTATCCTCTTAACAATGTAGGAGGTATGTATGGTGGCAGACCAAGACCATTGTGTTACTTGATGTACCTTTCTGGATGTGAGAAAAAAATAGAACAGCCATATTCAAGGTGACTTTGCCAGTCAAAGCTCCTCAGAGCTGTAAACTAGCCTTCTTTGGGTAGTATTTGTCAGGACTGTAATTTCACATTCCGATGTTTACAGTCACAGTATCACTGTACACATTTATGTGTATATATAATCCAGGGAATTGTTGGCCAACCCACCTTTTAGGAGCACATTTATCAACAAAGTTCTTATTGCGATCAGGACATTATCTGCAAGGAGTTTCCATGTTCTCCCTGCGCTTGTGTGCATTTCCTCCAGGTACTCCGGTTTCCTCCCATACTCCAAAGACATGCTGGAAGGTTAAGTGGATCTTGTGTAAATTGGTCTGGTATGCATGTGAGATAGGGACCTTAGATAAGCTCCCTGAGGGCAGGAGCTGATGTGAATGTGCACTATGTAAAGCGCTACGTAGATTGTCAACTCTATAAAAATACCAAAATAAATAAATAGATAAGCTTAGCATAAAAGTTGCATGGTGTTTCCAGCAACCCGAGCACATGGATCCAGAAGTTTAGAGGAGGATAAGACGGTCCTTCTTCAACCTTCTCACACACAAGCAATGTGTAAACATTATGAATATCTATAGGACTGATTTGATTAGTGAACCAGTGCCACATTTACATGTAAATTGTGTTACACCACGAGAGAATAAATATTTCGTGGAGTCACGAGGCAGCCCAACAAAGTAATCTCGTGGAGTCATCTCATGGCCCAACGAAGTACTGATGGGGTGGTCATAATAACTGTTGCCCTTCTGTAAGTAACCTTGAGAGAATATTGGTGGATTAGAATACAATGAACGATAGTTGATTTTCTTTGTACTTTCCATAGGAAATGACAACCAGAGAACGTCAGCGCACTACAGCTAGAGTGCGGGTCATCGTGCTTGATGGAGATGACCAATATCCACAATTCTTCCCATGTAATTTCATGTCTCATGATAGTCTTAATGTCTGTGTTAGCCCTACATACTTGGTAAACATTACAACAGGAATGGAACCAGTGAGTATTTATGGATGCAATGTTCCACCTCATTGTCTATAAGGCAATATTTTGACGTATTAGTGTAGTATTTATGAAAAATGCACTTGCCTGATGGCTTTCTCTGTATTTTTAGACTGGGTCTCTTGTCTTCTCTCCTGGACCAATATTTGCTGAAGATGGCGACAAAGGAATCAACGCTCCCATCTCATACTCCTTACTGTCAGGTGAAATATATAGAACTAAATGGGTTCATGTGGTTTTTGTAACAGTTGGTAACAGTTGTTTAATATGTAAGCTGTGAAAGGATTTGTTTTCCTTTGTAGGTTTATAACATGATTATTTAAATACAGTGATTATAATTCTATAACTGTAATCTGATATCTTAAAGTTCCATTGTCAATATACAATACTGTCCTCAAGTCTCATAAGATCTCAGGGTTCACAACAATGGTTATACTTTTTCATTGCAATGCATATACTTTGGCTAATTAAACACAATATTTCTCACTAATTCTGCTTTAAACTCTTAAGACCTACCTGCTAATCCATATGTCTGATTTGTTGCAATCTCAGAACTTCTTCCCTGTGTTATATCATTCCAAACATTTTCTATTTATGTCTTTTTAGGCCCCGACAGTGACAAATTCCAGATTGATAATGTGACTGGGTCTGTTTCTCTGACTCACACACTGGAGAGCAATCTAGCCCCTACAACCTTCAATCTGAAAATTATGGTGAGCACAATTTTATAAATTAGTTTTTTATTTATAAAAATATACGTTTAATGAGCAGGATTTTTTAATTAATTCTAACAGTCAATTATTTCATGTACAGTAATATACTATGGGGCTTATTTATAAAAGTTTCCTGGGCAGATACCGTTTGCAAGGCACTAGCACCCCTAGATGGTGCTGACGAGTATAGGATATAGGAAGTGCTTTTCAAACGGTATTAGCAGAACATTTATAAAGTAACCCCTATGTAAACTTTAAAACAGCAGTTATCTGGTGTTAAACATTTTGAATGCAGCTGTATTGGTGTAACAATCAGAGGGACCCAGCTGATTACCAGACATTGGTTAAGGATGTTGAAGTCACAATTATTAGAGACAAAGGAGTATGAAAGATCTTAATGACAGATAACAGGCCAGAAGTCCAAATCTTAATGGGGATTAAGACAATCTGAAGTGAGGAGTTAAGAATGGAAAGTTGTCATGTTATAAAGCAGGAAACTCTATTCAAGACACAGGAACACAAAAAGCACAGAAACGTAACAGCAAAATGAAACAACCTCAATAGACACCGCTGTCATATATCTGAGCAAGCAAGGATGCCAGATTTTGTAAAGAACAGTAATGCTGGATACTAAATACTGGAAGAGGAAAAAGGAACACAGTTCTACATTCAGTATGCCCAAAAGAGAGGGTACCTAGACATAGACCAAGCAGCACAGGATGTGGCCAACATACTCGGACTGGTTACTGAAGACCATAGAAGAGAAAAAAACAGAAAATGGTGGCAATGTAAAACTGATGCAGCAGCTCATAAGAAACAGCAGACTAACTCCACAGAGATAAACAGTAGTCAGAAAATACATGAATTTAGGAAAGGATAGCAAAAAGACAGTCTAGAAGACTTACTGGCAAATGTAGTACTAATGCTGACTGTAGACACAAGATAGCCATCATCTGATTCAGCCTTATTGTATAACAATCTCATATCAATAGCAATAGCAGACCCTCCCTCTTGGGACCATTCTTGGGGAAAAAAATTATCAGGTAGGTTGGAAACCCCTCCAGTCACTATTATATCCACCAAGATAGTTGGTACTGGAAAGATTCTGCCAGTGCTGCCTCCTTCTCCCCCTTCCATTTTTATAAACATGTAGACAAGGGCAAGCCAATCATACATGCTTATGTGATAGCTGGCTAAAGCATTTCTTTGGGCAGTTGTATTGTGTCTGCCCCATCCAGCTGCCCTCATATGTCTATGATCAGCTTTGGGGTTGTGTAAATTGGAACATGCAGCTTGCTATAAGGTGTAGCATGCTGCCTTTGAGATCAGTTTAACATGCTTTTGAGATCCTGTTGAGTTCCTTGAAAAGTGTTTTTGACTTTCTTCTGACATTTTTCTAAGGCGCATCAAGCTGCTTCAAGTTGTTATTGTATTTCCAATGACTTCTATAGGAAGGAAAGTAGTTTTCATGCAAACAAATGCACATGGGCAAAAGTTCTTAGAATGGAAACAGAAGTAGAAGCAGAAGATTGGGAATAACAGACAAGAGTGACGTGGTCTACACAGAGAACAGATAGGCTACAAGATCTTGATAGGATATTGTTTATAACAAATTATATGTACCAGTTTTTTACCATCAAGATTTGTTCAATTATCTTAACCTGGTCCCTTTTTTTTACTCTGCAATAATGATTAACTTTTGATATGCCTGTATAGAAGACTTACAATATTCTCTTGGTATACATTCATTGCAGGCCTCTCAGGTTAGTGATACTAGAAAGTATGCATTGGCTGAAGTACAGGTACGATTACTAGCAGCAAACAAGCATGCACCTCGATTTGTTGCTACTCAATACCAAGGATTTGTTCAGGAAGATAACAACCCTGCAGCCCTTGTCAGCACTTACAATGGACGTGTGCTCTCTGTCATACCTTCAGATGGAGATTTCCCAAATGTAAGTCCATTGCATGCAATAAATGCCCAATACTGAACTGAGTTAAATAGGAAATGTAGCATTATGTAACCTGTGACATGATATTTTGCTTCATAAAGTACACTATATAGAAAATATGTTGGGGACTCTATGCTGCTTTTTAATAAATGTATATACTATTATAGAATAGTATAGCTTATATAGTTCACTTTCTTTAAATCTAGCCTTTCTCTTTTTCTGTTTTGTGACCTGATCAATACAGCACATCTTAATCTTTTTCAGAAAACCAATCCTCAGATTCATCTCAGTCTAGCCTCACAATCTAACCATAGTCAGCTATTCCACATAACAGAAAGTGGTCTGCTCATAGCCAGAGCAAACCAGCTGAAAGTAACTGAAACCTATCCTCTAAAGGTAAGAACTGGATCTGGAGAAGAATGTACAAAGCCAGAGGTTGAATTACATCCAACATACTGTACACATGTGTCACTATTGTATATACTGTTAAATCTGTATTTAGTGCATTACAATTTACATTGCATGTTGATGCCTGTAATGTTCCTTAGGACTCAAATTCCATATAATATCAGAGTGGCTTTATCTTGATAGGACATTGGTTCAGTCTTATAGCATGAACACACAATGCTGTGGATATCAAAGTGAGAGATAAAGCACTTCTGCTGGAAAGAGCAATGCTTCTAAAAGTATGTCATGTGATTGTTAGATTTCAAGGCCATTATTATTATTTTATAGTAACAATTCTAAATCAGCACACCTATATGGTGGTGCTTGGTGCTCCAGGTCTGATTATGAAAGGCAATATTAAATATTTTGAAAAAATCATACACAACATGGTAGTAATTTTAAAATTAAATCTGATTATAAAAGGCGATATTAAATATGTTTGGAAAAATCTAATTAATTAGGTTTTGTATACATGTGTTTGAAAAAAGCATGAAAGTAATAAAGTATTAAAGACACGAGTCTCATCATGTAGCATATCCCATAAGGTAGTGAGTACGGAGTATGTAGGGAATTCAAGGAGAAAGAAAACCAAAAGATCAGAGGAAAGAAAAGAAAAAGATAGAGGAAGGAAAGAGAGGTCAAAACAAGATGTCCAGGGGGTAAAGAAACTTTTGAGGTCATTAGAAATCGACCGTCATTTAATTGATGTCGTTCATTGATGAATTAGGTTTATAGTCTACGTCTGGCAGAGTCAGAGGTTGAGAAATCAACAAACTGCCAATAAAGTATAAAAATTGTCATGCTTATCATTTGTTATAGCCAGAATTTCTTCCATTCTAAAAATTTAGTTCATAGTACTGATCCAGTGGGAGAGAGATGAGGATGTAGATGTTTTCCAGAGATTTGATATTGACCTGACGTGACCCTGGATAGATAGATAAGAGAGCTATTTCTGGGGAAGGTGTGAGGGTATTACCGTAGAGTTCTGAACTAATATGAAAAATGTATTAAAGGGCAATTCTACTAAATGTGTAGGTGTCACCTTCACATCGCCAACAAGTATCAGGGACAAGAGGAACAATACGGTGTATAGATATAGGATCTTTGTACCAGCAAGAAATTATTTTTGTGTAATAAGAATATGCAAGTCAAACATTTATGGTTTACAGCAGCCAACCTCTTTTTTTTTAATTATAAACGTATTTCACGAATGGCGCCATATATATTATATTAAGAGTTTTAGACACTGCAATGTTGATGCTTTTATTTCTCGACATAGAAATGTTATTTTGGATGCTTATACTTTGGTGTATAAGGTAAGTATTGACACAGTAGTTTAGGCAATAGTTGGGTGTTCAAGGATAACCATAGCTAAAGTATAAGGCCAATTGCTAGGGCCCAATCACACCACAATGCTGTGTGCTGCAACATATATGCTGTTTTGCATTCACATGCATTGTGTTAAACAGACTGCTCAAAATGAATGCACTGAAACGCACAGCAATGCATTAAAAAATAGAGTCAAATTTTATCACAGAGCAATGCACCGGACAGCATTGTGTCTAACTGTAAACAATCGCAGGGCACTTCGCCATGCAAATATCTGTGACCATTGGTTCCGTGCAAATATATGTGCCAAAACAAACGTTCTTAAGTTTTTTCTTTACGGTTGGAATTCATTTTTGAATGTTTTCACGTAATATCATATTATAGCAACTAGATGGTGCTAAAAAAGCATAGGAATTTGTTTTTCTTCTCCTTTCCTTTATTCTCTTTCTATGCTACTCTCTGTTATCTAGTGGCCATAATACATTATTTAAAAAAAATCTGAAAAAGCATTCCCTTGTAAAAAAAATAACTAAAGACCATTTAGTTATATCCACATAGAACGGACGTCACAAATATTTTCAGGGCAAGCAGCTGTTCCAGTGCATTTTGGTGGCGTAAAAGGGTGCCGTTCACACTGAATTGTTAAGATTAGGGGAGAGGTTAACAGTTTAGGTAATAATAAATGCTAGAGATGGGGGAACACAAGTGTTTAATAAGAAATTCACATGTGATTACACCTTTAAAAGGCTTATGCCTAAATACCCTGATCCTGGCTTCTGGTGCCAAAAGCAAAGGAACAACTCAAGGTGACACTCCGCAAGTACAAACTTATAAACAATAGAACATAAGCTACTATAGGTTCCTAGAAGCAAATGGAGCCAGTTCCTACTTTTATCATAAAGCTTCAGTGATAATGATTTATTATTATTAGTTTTATTATTATATGATTTTTCATACATTGAACATTTATACAGTTTAGCTTTTAAGTCACAGCTCTTAAAGGCTACATAAAGCCATTCTGCAACCAACAAATATCACTTGCTCTTTTCCTAATTAATAAAAAATGTGTTTCATTCACTTACTTATAGTACCCTCTTCCTTGAACTTCTACTTCTCTGTTCGGTAACTGTATGTTTACTGCACTTATTAGAAATGTCATGCATCTGTTTTGTTCCCCTGCTATTGAACTTTCTTCCCTTTATTGTAACCATGAGTGATTCAGACAGCAATGTTCCATGCCCCAACAAACAATTGTTAAGTGTGATTCATATTAAACCAACAATATCATTCTTCCTGTGTTAACCATAGATCATTGCAAGAGATGAAGAATCCGGGGAAACGGTAAACTGCACTGTGACTGTGAAGGTCTTGGCTCATGGGCAAGCAGGTAAGATATGTGCCACCTCTCCTGATAACCTGATCTGGAAGTCCTTCTATCAAATGTAGTCCTACACAGTTTACTTTCTGCGCGTGGTTCCCTTTTTTTTAAATTAAACATTCATAAAAATCCACCAGTTCCAGACGTAGGTCATTTGTAGCCTCCCCTTTTACTAAAAAACAAAAATTCTCCATCACAAAGAATGTGTGCACTCATGTACAGAATGTATGGGTGGTCCTAAGATATGTTTTACACCGGTAAACCTAAAATGTATACAGTAGCACCCATGAAAGGACATATTTGCATTAAATCATGGACGTTAAGGGAAAACCACCAATAGACGTTGCCTCTTATGCATGCACTCTTCTAGAAAGCAGAATGGTGAGATGAGACTTAGATGCCCACTTCAACTCTGTACCATGGCTAGCATCACAAAAGAATGTTATTAGGGCCGTCAAATGAGAATGGTGACATTTCAATTTGACACATTACCAAAGTTCAGATGGCACCCATAACACACATGACAGACCACTGGTTCAGGTGTAGCCATAGATTTTTTTATTTCTTATTAAAAGTGGTTGGTTGTTGTCTATAAAGTGGGGTGTAGCTGGCATCCTATATTTGTTGGTACCCAACATTCTGACTGTTAGTTTTTACTTTTTTTTAAATTATCTTGTTTTCTTAGCACCCCGGGATCCATCAGAGCCGAGAGCCATGTTTACTCTGCCAGACTTTCCCGTGATAGGTGCTGGACTTGGGGTTCTTGGGATATTGTTTATGTTTCTGATATTCCTTTTAATAAGAACTGTGAAGAATCATCGGCAACAACAGCAACAGATGAGCCAAACTTCACTTGTCACAGAGAAGCATCCTAGTGTGGTATGACAGTGTTTTTTGCCTTCTTGAAAGAAATGTATTGTATAACAGAATCTGATTATATCAAATCTAACCTATGGTACTACTCCCTCAGGTTGCTCTTACCGGCCACGTGTGTCAGCTAAACTCAGAGACCCATTTCGTCCTACTTTCCATTTTTCAGAAAGTAGTATAACTGCACCAATTAGTTGAAGCAGGAGTTTCAAACAGCTTTATTGTTTGCCAATGGAAAAAAAACCCCTGCTCCGCTCTGATGTGTTTCACTCTACCCAGGGGTCTAATATAGAGGTCAAGGAAATTAAAGAGCAGTGTACACATTTATATACAAACACCAATGGCAATAATAACAGATACAGCACATACTGTATGTATTCTGGATTACATGACACCAGTATTAATATAAGACACGCCTTTTACATCCATAAAATCTCCATAAAAACAGTAACCTTTATTCTATATGTAAATATTTTTAAAATGAACTATGAAATTTAAAACCAATGTATTTACATAATTATGTATACTGTATATCCTTATTATACAATATACTTAATTGTTCTCTATAGTTGCATAAAGCAATAGCTATTTAACTGTGATAGTGTCATTTAGCAACTGATGAATCCCACTTTCAGGCAGGGAATAATGGTGAAACGTGGAGCACGCGATAAAGCTTATTGGAAAGCCTGATTCATTTGGTCAGTGCAGCTTTACAGTATTTATAGGAAATAGAATTTGATTCTAACTGACCTAGCCTATCCTAACTATGGTTATCCAATTGTAATTTTAAACTGGAGTGGTTTTAGGATATTTGTTTAGCCCCCGATGTTTATTAATGCACAATTTTCTCAAGGTACTTTTTCTGTTAGAAACCTGATCATAGGTATTAATGAAATATTAAAAATAAATAAAATACTTGTGATCTGTTGTTTTAACTGTCTCAGTCATCATTTTCATCCTCATGAATCACTGCATAGAAATGGACTGAATGTTTTAATATTGGCGATGAGCATTGTATAAATTTGTTGTTTTTATTTTTTTATTTAATACATCGGCTTTGCTCTTTGCCATGCTTTGCAGCAAGATGACCTTTGCCTTGAGCAGTGAACATCTAAACCAACACCCTCTCTGGCCAAGGTTGCCATACTGGCTGAGCTATAACCATATGCTGCTTAGCAGGTATAGAAGGATTATCTCAAGCTTTAGCAGAGCCTTTTGTGGGCAATGTTCAGGTGTTTTTCTGAACTCTGGCCACAAATAAGTCAAATAAGGCTCGATAAGATCATTATCACTATAATTAATCTACAGTCATGAGGAAACGTTTGTAATGCCTTAAGCATTTTCTTTATAATGGTTCCTAAAATGTGATCTTTATCTTAACTTTTTATTAAAGTTATAGTAGAATTATAATAATATTCACTATCTTATTTAACAAACAACATAGAACATGTCAGATCAATGTGTCTTCAATGAACAAATAGTTTAAACCAACCTTTCTCAACCAGGGTGCTGTGGCACCTTGGGGTGCCTTCTAGCTTCCTCAGGGGTGCCTCGACATATTTGCACAGCATCATGCCTTTCCATGGTGCAGGCAGACCACCAGCACCATGGAAATGAATGGTGCTAATCCAGGGAGGAAGATCTGTTTAGATAAGGAAGGAAGTACGCCTCTGTCCAGGTCTGTATTTGAAGGGGAACTTTGAAGTGAAAGAGGGGGAAAGAGGTTATTTGAAGAGGGAACCCCACTTTTTTTTGCATGGGGTCCCTCCTTAAAATGTATACCAGTCTCCCCTGGGATAAGTGCCCAGTATGAATTTAGCAGGGGCCACAAATTGTTTTTTACATTTTAGACTGAGGTCCCTCAAGATTTTGCAAACTTTTAAAGGGTGCTGACTAAGAAACGCTGTTTTAAACATTCCATGTCCTTCGTGAAAGAACTGCAGTATGGGGCCCTCTAGGAAAGTGACCTTGTCAAACTATGGCGAATGTTGAAGACACATAATGCACATTGAAAGGAAAACACATTATAACATTACACATTAAGTGTGTGTCCTTGTGATATAAAAGAAAATTGTAATAGAACTAGGAATAACTATGACTAAAGAGTATTAGTAATGCAAAAAAACAACAGTCAAGAAGTGAGAGCACCAACTAAGTTTAATAGCTCCAGTTCATTTTTGGTTGAGAGTCACAGGAGTAGGCAACGCATTTCAGAGGTTCCCCAGCATTGGCTACTCAACTAACACTTCAATCCAAAGAGTATTAGTAAGATACATGGGACTAGGAAGAGACATACAGTTTCTCTAATCTTGGTATTGTGGACACATACCTCCACTACTGTCTCTTTCTCAGAGGACCTCTTGATGTCAGTCCCATGGTTCTCCTCTTCTTTCTCGTAGTTGACTTACTCTAATCAGAATTCTCTTGAGTCTGAGCATTTGTTGTTTGTTGTTGAGACCCTCTGGTCTCAAAAGCCTCTCTTAATTGCAAGACATTACTCTGTACTTCACTTGGTGAAACTGGTCTGCCATGCCCTGACACTCCAAAAAAAGGAGAGCAGGGTCTACAATAATTTACAGATTCTGTTCACTACTTTCAAACTGTGTATAAAATGTCTGTGATTTCAGACTCCAACAGCCATTTTGTGTAAGTCTGCATCTTAAATGGACACTCTCATTGGCACAGACTGCAGGCGACTGAGTGTGGGCAGGTACAGACAGTGATCCACCTATTATCTTTTAACACAGGTTGGAAACTGTTTTGGATAATGGAATCTTAAAAAAGGGTAATTGAAGTCATGTTCCAATCGGTCAATCAGGTGTACCATATAATTTGGGCATGGGCTTTGAACTGCCCTGTAGTATAAAACATCACACGAGTTTAGTTACGGAATTTTCACAACAGAATTCTTTTGAAATTCTACGTGACATAAGAGTGTCCAGAAGTTTAGAAAAAAATATCAACATAGCCCATTAAAAAGTCCTTGTGAAGCTTGAAATGATGCGTGTATACAATCTACAAGCCAAATGATAATCGGATACTGCTTAAAATCATTTTAGCTATAGAATTTAAAAATTCGGAGTCGTTTTTATGAAATCTAATGCCTAAAGTTGAGTGAATGTTCAGTGTTATAGCTTTAAATATATGAATGCTAACTTTTACTTTTTCTCTCTATTGTTGCAACATAGAGCTTGAAATGGTTTCAGCCAGTAAGTATTGGTTGGGAGAGAAAACAGTACTTCAGAATTTGCATCAAAAATTACCTCAGAATTTACTTTAAAAGTTGGTAAATATGCTTTTTTTTCCCAACATAAAATCATTTCAATTGTTACAGATGAATGGGCCGGCAGCAGTACAGTCTTGTTAGAGGACCTCAGTTATTCTTTCAAATATGTAAATATTATAAAAGTGTTAATGAAAAAAACAATGGGGGGGGATTTATCAAAACTGGAGCAGACAGAATCTGGAGCAGTTGCCCAAAGTAACCAATAAGCTTCTTTCTTCAGTTTGTTCTGTCAAGCTTTGAAAACAAAAGCTAGAAGATGATTGGTCGCCATGCAGTTACTATAGAATTTGTCTGCTCCAGTTTTGATAAATTCCCCTCGATGTACCACCCTCCCTGATACTAGCAGCCCACAAGATAGGTGGGGTCCACAGTGTACTTCTTTTCTATTGGTGCCAATGCTTTGGAAACCTCTTTTTCTGGTGACAACTAAGAGGTCTAAGAGGGGATTCCCCTCACTTTGGAGAAATGTTATCTCACTTCCTATTGTATGTCCAAGAAGAAAGTGAAGGAAACCTCCTTAATGGGTCTAAGAAGTTTAAAAACTGAAGGGTTTTAACTAGGGATGCACCGATACTTTTTCTGGTATCAAATAAGAGTACCGATATTTTATTGTCTACACTCGCCAATACCGATTACTGATACCGGTGCCGTGTGCCCCAATTATGAGGGAGCCATGCGGTGGATCATGACCCCGCCGCCTGGCTTCCAGATTGCCAAGGAAGCCGGTGTTCTATCGAAAGAACACCGGCTTCACTTCCTGAGGTTGCCTGGTTCCCTGACCAAACAGCAAGCCAGGAGACGGGTCATAACCCGCCGCCCGGCTTCCTGATTGGAAAAGGATGCTGGCTCCATGCTCCCTCGGCACTGCCGGTAAGAGGGAGATTTCCCTCTGACTGCAAGTTCCGGTATCGGAGGTAAGTATCGGAGCATTTGGGTGAATGCGAGTACTCGCCCAAATACTCTGTATCGGCACCATAGATAGCCATGTATCAATCAAACATAGTTTTGGCTTTAGATATACTTCAAAGTAGAACTAAAGTCAGCGTCATTTACCTCTATTCAACGCAAGCTCTCTTGCTGCTGCTAACATTTTTGTCTCGTCTTCCTCTGGGTCCAGTGTCTTCAGTCATTTTGACTAGCAGACCCAGAATGACACAATTCCTGCACATGTGCATGGGAGTTAAATAATTACAAGGAATGCCAGTGTGCAATCTCTAGAAACTTGCTGGTAGGCAGATAAGACACTTTTATTGCAGAAAAGACATACAGTGGGGTTAAGTTATTAAAGGCAAATAGGCTGTTCGCTTTGCAATGGAATTTGCACTTTGCCAGAGAAATTTCTCTTAGGTTAGTAAATGGATGACTTCCAACATCCAGTCATGTGCAAGAAAAAATACCTTGGCTTTCTTTTAATGATTGGGTATGTTTAGCAAAAGTGAATTTTCACCACATTCACTAAGCTAAGGCAAAATTCCCTTGCAAAGTGCAAATTCCATTACAAAGTGAACAGCCTGTTTGCCTTTAATAAATCAACCCCGGAGTCTCTTCTGCAATAAAAGCTTTTCTTAAAAGCAGAGTTCTTTTTCTATGCTAAAGTTCCAGATTAGGTCTACAATTTCATAGGTGAGACATCAGGGTTGATTTATTAAATGCTATATGCTGTTCATTTTGCAAGGAAAATTGCAGGTTGCAGAGGACGTTTCCCTTAGCTTGGTGAATACAGTAAACATTCACTTTACAAAGAATACCCAATCAAGGAACATAAAAAAAAAAATTATTCCTGCGTATGATTGGGTGATGGAAGTGAGCAGAGCTTCACCTCATTTACCAAAGGCAAAATTCCCTTGCAAAGTGCAAGTTCCCTTGCAAAGTGAACAGTCTATTTGTCTTTAGTAAATCAATCTCATTGTTTGATATTGATGACTATGGCTTGACCTTTGCAGGTGAATACCAGCAAATCTTCACCCCCAGGAGAGGAGCAAGGCTACCAAAATGCAGCTTACAGTGAAAGCCCTGATGAAGTGAAGATCTGCGAAGAGCAAGATAAGGGGATGTCACCTAACAAACAAAGCAAAGTAAAAGAGTCAGGGAAGGCAGACGGGAATGCAGGCAAGCCGCAAAAGAGGACACCAGCGGTAGCTGTGATCTCACCTGGAAACCAGTGTATTGGAAGCTCTCCATGCAGAAACAGACAAGAATCGTCAGGTAAATACTCAACCTGGGTAACAGAACAGACTATTCTAGCTTTTTGCATTTCATACTTCCTTATGTAAGATGTACAGTGGCTTGCAAAAGTATTCACCCCTCACCTTGGCATTTTTCCGATTTTATTGCTTTACCACCTGGAATTAAAATTGATTTTTTTGGGGGGGTTGGTATTATTTGATTTACACAACATGCCTATCACTCTGAAGATGCAAAATATTTTTTATTGTGATACAAACAAGAGTTAAGACAAAAAAAAACTGAAAACTTGAGCGTGAATAAGTCAATACTTTATAAAGCCACATTTGGAGCAATTACAGCAACATAAGGCGGGCACATCTAGCCAATTGCATTTTTGCCTATTCTTCAATGCAAAACTGCTCTAGCTCCTTCAAATTGTATGGGTTTTGGTTGTGTACAGCAATCTTTAACCTCCCAGGCGCTGGGTTACCGCTCCAGGTATGGAAAATTAACCCCGAGCCAGACTCGGGAATACCGCCAGGGAGGTTAAGCCATGCCACAGATTCTGCATTGAATTGAGGTCTGGGCTTTGACTAGGCTGCTCCAAGACATTTAAATGTTTCCCCTTAGACCACTCAAGTGTTGCTTTAGCAGTACACTTAGGGTCATTGTCCTATAGGAAGGTGAAACTATGGGGTCTATTCACAAAGCTGCCGAAGGATCTGGCCATAGCTTCGGCCGATCCTTCGGCTGGCTTCGGCCCTAGGACCCCTTCGGTTCAAGAGAACCGAGGGGGTGTCGGCTGAAATCAGCCGTACCAGCCTGAAGTGAATAGCCGAACAGTGTTCGGCTCACTTCACTTCTGATCGGTCATTCACTCGGCTGCCCTCGGCAGCTTTGTGAATAGACCCCTATGTCCCAGTCTCAAATCTCTGGCAGACTTAAATAGGTTTCCTTCAAGAATTTCCCTGTATTTAGCGCCATCCATCATTCTTTTAATTCTGACCAGTTTGCCAGTCCCTACCGATGAAAAACATCCCCACAGCATAACGCTGCCACTATCATATTCCACTGTGGGGATGGTGTTCTTGGGTGATTAGAGATCTTGGGTTTGCGCCATACATAGCTCAATTTTAGTCTCATCTGACCAGAGTACCTTCTTCCATATATGTGGGTGGTCACTAATATGACTTTTGGCAAACAGCAAACATGTCTGCTTATTTTTTTCTGCAAGCATTGACTGTTTTCTGACCACTCTCCCATTAAGGCCAGCTCTGTGGAGTGTATGGCTAAAAGTGGCCCTATAGACAGATACTTCAATCTCTGCAGAAGCTTTGCAGCTCCCTCAGGCTTATCTTTGGTCTCTTTGTTGCCTCTCTGATTATTGTCCTCCTTGCCTGGTCTGTGAGTTTTGGTGGGCATCCCTCTCTTGGCAGGTTTGTTGTGGTGCCATATTCTTTCCATTTTTTAATAATGGATTTAATGGTGCTTCATGGGATGTTTACAGTTTTGGATATTTTTTTATAACCCAACCCTGATCTTTACTTTTTATGTATGTCCATTACATGTAATCCAAATAAAAATCTATTTTAATTCCAGGTGGTAATGCAACAAAATAGGAAAAATGCAAAGGGGGTGAATACTTTTGCAAGCCACTGTAACTAATATAACTTTACATTTTTTTCTAAGCAATATACAGTGGTACCTCGGTTCACGAACTTAATTTGTTCCACGATTCTGGTTGCGAACCGAATTGGTTGCAAACCGAATTAAACTGTGATCAGAACGCGATCTTCTGCAAGCATTGACTGTTTTCTGACCACTCTCCCATTAAGGCCAGCTCTGTGGAGTGTATGGCTAAAAGTGGCCCTATAGACAGATACTTCAATCTCTGCAGAAGCTTTGCAGCTCCCTCCGGCTTATCTTTGGTCTCTTTTGCCTCTCTGATTATTGTCCTCCTTGCCTGGTCTGTGAGTTTTGGTGGGCATCCCTCTCTTGGCAGGTTTGTTGTGGTGCCATATTCTTTCCATTTTTTAATAATGGATTTAATGGTGCTTCATGGGATGTTTACAGTTTTGGATATTTTTTTATAACCCAACCCTGATCTTTACTTTTTATGTATGTCCCTTACATGTAATCCAAATAAAAATCTATTTTAATTCCAGGTGGTAATGCAACAAAATAGGAAAAATGCAAAGGGGGTGAATACTTTTGCAAGCCACTGTAACTAATATAACTTTACATTTTTTTTCTAAGCAATATACAGTGGTACCTCGGTTCACAAACTTAATTTGTTCCACGATTCTGGTTGCGAACCGAATTGGTCGCAAACCGAATTAAACTGTGATCAGAACGCGATCTCCACTAGACCACGACAATGTGTCAGAGCAGGGAAGATGGCTGCGGTTGTGTTCATCACCTGAAGCGGAGTTTGCGAACGGAAGCGACATTTTGCCGAACGTCTTGTTCGCGAACCGGATTGTTCGCAAACAGAAGCGTTTGTGAGGTACCGCTGTATTACTATGCCTGCCAAATTTGTCACCAGGCATGGTAAAACTATTGGAAATCTTACATTTTTTTAATGCACATTTTTATGGATGTGCCAGTATTTTCTGTTATATTCCTATAAACCCCACCCCTTTCATTGTAGCTGAGCCTTTGAATAGAAATCAATGTACCCACCAGGAAGCTTCCCCAACAAAGGAACTCCAATCAAAAAAAGTTGGGATCACTCAAGCACTGGTGGTCAGTGAGGAAGTGGACAGCAGTTACCTGAAGCCTCCACGAGACGATGACCTTGGTAGCCATCTTCAGGCTGTCAATGATGCAACCACTGATGCCAACAAGGAAGTATCAGACAACCAGGATACCTCAGGAATATGGCCTGAACCCCCACAACTATCCCGGCTGCCCATTGTTGTAGAAGTGAATGAGGAAGTACCGGAACATGATGGAGAACAGAATGCTCAAACTCCACCAATGGGCAGTGAGATTATTACTCCTGGCTCTCTCATGCAGTTAATGGATGACTCAATTGAATGTTAATCCCTTTAAGCCTCATGCCTAAAAGAAAAGAATTGGATAATCTAATTGACTGTTGTGGACAACGAGGCATGAGGCTGGAATCTATGCCTTGGTAAAGTCCAACCCTGTTGGGAATTTAGGGTCGATATTGTTGTGTGAACTTTAATAAGATTTGATCTAATAAACCTTACCTTTTTTTATACTTGTCCATGACAAATTGACATCATCAGTGAAGATGGAGGGTCATACCAATGGATTGCTAAGGATACGTGCATTACTGTATTAGCTGCAGGAGTCTCACTTCTGTAAAAACTGCAAAAGTTCAAACTGCTATCAGTAGTTCTGAATTCAGCTTTATGTTATATGATACTGCAAATTATGTATATCACAAAGACCCTGTTTCACATTAAAGCTGTAAAAACTGTGAGAGGAATGTGCATGTTCTACTGTATATGTGTGTCAGATAAGGCCCTTTTCTATAGTGGATAAAATTGCCTGATATGTTCATTTATCATGAAAGTCTGGTGAGGAACACAGTAACTAAACAGTTTATTCATAGTTATATTTCTGCCTTTAAAACATCTATCTCCATTTTGGTCATGTGTCTAGTCACTGGGAGATGGATGTTTAGTGCTGGGATGTCAGGATACTGCCACTTTGTGCCATTGAGTTGGTAACTTTACTGACTGCCTGACAGAATTGTAATGCTTGTTTATCATATGTATTTATTACCATGATATTTGTATGACTCTTTTCCATCTTGAGACATGTCAGTTCACCCAGAACTTTATTTACCAGAACAAAAGCACTAAATCATGCACAGTAGTCTGCTATTAGCCAAAAACCGCTAAAATGCATCCAAATACCAGAATGCATATACTGTACCTACAGAGTAAACATTACTAAACATGAAAGTGTACAAAATCAGGTTAAATCATTCTGTACTTGACTTTAAGCATCATGTAGAACAGGCCAAGATAGGTCATGATTACTCCACCCTGCTAAATAGTGACTACGTGTAGGCTTATGCCAGAAGGGGAGAAAGAGAAATGCAGGGAAACTATTTGCTGTTATGTACCAAATAGATTACTGCCTTAGTCAACAGTCATCATTATCTACTGTGGAAAAATGTTGGGTAATATCTAATGGAAAAGACATACATTTTTTTTACAATAAATAAACATTTTAAGTATAAATCACATTAAAATAACTATAAGTGTATTTATTGAATGCTTATTCTGTATTTTAGTATGAATTTCAGTTGTTATATCTCTTCCAGTATACAAATAATGTATTATTGGTTTGCCGCAATTCAGTTGTTGTGCAGCTCATTCCTAATCCACCCATAGTTTTAGGATTCTAGATATTACGTGACCGAGTTCAGATAGATCCCTTGTTGGGCCCAGCAGAAGGAAGCAGAAGGATGTGAGAGTTGGAGGGTTTGGACCTCAATGTCATTTGACTGTTTGGAGTCCCAAAGCATTGTGCTGCTAAATTCTGGTGGACATGAATTAAGCCTATACAAACATGCTTCTTCCTTGACTTATTATGACACTAAAATTTCTGCATAGAGATGCGTTTCCCAGCCTATTTCCAGAAATATAAAAACAATCTAAGCTTGCAGTGTGACCACCCCTGCACTGCAACGGTTAACTCTAGGGTAGTTGTGTAAAATAAATTTACTGAACTGATGCCTGTTCACACAGGCTCCAAGTCCAGAATCCACAGTCTCTTCCCTCATATACTCGAACGGTTGTTTGCTGGGCTCCTTCCCCTCTTTTCCCCTGCCATGCTAGTCCCAGGCTGGCAGGCAGGACAGCAGAGCCGGGAAACATGGCAGGGGAGTGCACACTTGGCAGCCTGTGGAAGTTATCGGGTGGCTTTACGTCCACTACCATCTCCTCTTGTGTAATGTCGATCGTTGGCTTTACACATGCTATAGCAGCCAGGAGTCTGCTTACAGAGACATATGGCAATCTTTGGTGGCAGCAAAAGGGTTAAAGCAGAACAACCTTAAATTGTTGTCCACCCAAAGCTCTTTTATTTTCAAGGTCATTCACAAAGCTGCCGAAGGCAGCCAAGTGAATAACCGAGCCGTAGTGAAGTGAGCCGAACAACGTTCGGCTACTCACTACAGCTCAGTACGGCTGATTTCAGCCATACATCAGCTGAAATCAGCCGTACATCGGCTGCCTTCGGTCAGCAGAAGTGCAGAAGGACGTTGACTCAGCCGATCCAACATATGGATCGGCTGTGCCGAAGCTCTGGCGCCTTACTCGCTGCTGTTTGCCCCTATTCTCATAGGGGCTGAACTGCAGTGAGTGAATAGCTGAATGCCGCCGAGCAATTAAATGAAAAGAGTAAAAAAAA